AGCTTACTGGATTTGTGCGACAAATTAATTATATATGCCGATCATGCACAACTGAATTCCCCTAAAATAAATTGGAAACATGTGTACACAGGGCAATATCGTACACATTGTCACGTTTGAGAGGGTATTAACCGATATAGCCTGGCTTGCGACATCGCTCAAGTTACGGGAAAACCACAACGAAAATGGGAACTCTTTATATAGGCTAAAACCGCAACGTTCTCGCAAATCATTGTAACATTTCTTCCTTTATATATTAGAATTAATCACGATGGCTTTAATAAGTTGAAAACCAGGGAACATTGAGCAGAAACGAAGTCTAATAATTAATTAATGTTAACAGGTAATTAAGAAAAGTACGGCTGCAAACGAAAAAAACGAAATTTCAACGTTTGTGTACAGAACGCAAAAGACCAAATTATTTAGTAACACGTTGAACAGTTTTAATACGCTCTGTGAAGACTAATGTTATGACCGTGACGGCCGACCTATCTCTTCAAATGAAACTGTTCAAATAAAAGGATGTACCGCCATTACGTGACTTAGTTGTAACTTGATGCAGATAGCCACGAATTGTACTGTCGCCGTAATCACGACATAAAACTAAAATTAATATTGATTGATTGATTGATTGATTTATTTATTTATTGATTGATTGATTGATTGGTTGATTGATTGATTGATTGATTGATTGATTTGTTTGTTTGTTTGTTTGTTTGTTTGTTTGTTTGTTTGTTTGTTTGTTTGTTTGTTTGTTTGTTTGTTTGCGTGTTTCTTTTACCTGGATCGGCAGTTTATCATATCAGTAATGCTTAAAATCAATTTGCCACCTTTGTTATCGACAGCCTGTGTACTTAGTGAGACAGCCATTCAAGCTACGCAGTCCTGTGTATTCGTTCCGCTTTTGACAATGTGTAAAAATGCAGTGTACTATATCCAACTTCAGCGCAATACGCAAGATCAGTGACCTTTCACCCTGTTAGTCGTGTCTAAGAAGTAACAGTCAATACGTGCACGCTCTTCTAATTTTCACACGCGATGTACTGTTACTATTATTGTAAAATCAATCACGTCATTATTATTTGCTTACAGCATACAAGTAATAAGTTCACGAGTCGGTCATTTTAGGGGCTTAGACAAATCTGCGAAATAGATGATGTACGGAATTTGTACGTACTGAACGTTCGATTTTTCAGCGTACGTAAATATCGTCGACCGTTTTGACTTCTTGTTATTTACAATTGTAATTGTCAACGCTATTAAAGGTCCAACGCGCATGGATCAGCAAATGTTCACCGTGACGCATTCGTTCCTAATTACTGTGCACCGAAATATATTAGAAATGCGAGCGAGTCTGGGAATCCTCGGTTATTTCCCACAATAAGCGCATAATTTTACCATTATTTTTTTTCACATATTAGTCCCACGAACCCCCAATGAAGCTATAGGTATGATATCAGAGTGCAGCGTTGTCAATCACATGACGTAATTTATCTTATTTGTTGTAAATGTGTGATAGATGTACGCTTTAAATCACGTACGGCGCCGGCGTGCCAGCGTAAACTTTGTCAGAGCGGGAGCGTAACTTCTCAAAATTATTACCACAGTTAATCCTTGCCAGACTTGTAGAGACTTGCACAGTTTCCAAGCAATCCCCATCCGCGCTGTACCGTTCTAAAAAGGCGGAAACTCTTTCCTATTCTATTTCGGTTTTGGATAAACGGCACTGAACGTACGATATATACGTACTACGTTACCATTCAGCCAACAAAACGAATAATGATGTGAGGTTACACTCACGGCATAAAAAGAACTTTAGTGCATCCACTTGTTCACATTGCGCGGGAAACGATGCATGTATTTAATCGTAACTGATTTTTGGAATAGTAAATGTTACGTCGGTCGATCACTGTTTAGTACTAGTAATCATACGAATCGTTTGAGTAAAATGCGATTAAGCCGCGACGTTTTATCTTCGAAAGAATATTAGCGATATACATGTAGGTATAACTTAAAGCTGTTTGAAAACTAATTCCGATTTCTTGCTTCAAAATCAATACAACCCTATTATTAGTCGAAATGTTCGTCACTGTCACCACGAGTCTCTTTGTAATCACGCCGAGATTTAATCCCGATAACGGTAATATCACACCAGTCTTTGTACCGCTGCCTCTGTGCGAGCCAACTTCCAGTAACCACCATGATGTCGCCTATAAGTGTTCAGTCATCATGTGATCGAATAAGTCAGACTTTCTTTTGTGTTACACTTTTATGTGAAAGCGTACTTATGAGAGACGTGTATACAACTAGAGACGAATTGAAGTACTTGAGTTACGGGGACAGAGCTTCCGGCATCACGCAGGTATACGCCCCATCATGTCTGGGTTGAGTGTACCAGTGCACCGTAGTCATAACCAATACATTGCTCAATACGAACAACTATATGAAAAAAAACTGAACAAATATTGCATTCCACTGAATTGTAATGTGGGGGAAAATAGAAGTTCAAAATTCCCCGCAACTATAACATCGAATTTAATGCAGTCCGTTACTGTCGTCTGTAGTCATGTGACGTTCTAATCCCGTGATGCAATAATAAAAAATGAATGAACTCTACGCAAGGAAAAAGGGCATGACATGTTTTGAAACTTGTTCGGGGACGTTTAAATAAAAAAAGGTCACAAGGTCACCTCGAGTCCACACAATAATGATCCATGCATTCAGCAAATGACTTTGGAGAGAGCGAAGTGGACGCTATTTTTTTAATTACTGGTATCAATCGAGACACAGCGTTTACAATTCCATGCATTGATCGTAAATACAATATGTGTCAAAGACAGTCGCACAACAAGTTTGAGTTCACCCCAAGTTACCACGTTTAGTTGCAGTGGCTCTAGATTTTGCACACGACACTAAGATCACGTCAGTTATCTCACCGCCTTCATTCGTATCCCCAAACCCTCAAGTCGCTGACTGACTGAATGGGATTTGATCTTTATTGCATGATTTTTTTGTTCTAATATTAAGTTAAACGTTTGTTTATTCTGCCTAATAACGTTCTAACGAAATTTAAATGTACCTAAGTCGGTTTCGACAACCAATCCAAAGGTCGATCAATATAATTATGTTGTAAATACTTGTTTGGCATTTATTACCCATAGTGCCACGGGACGACTCGGAAGTTGAAGGTTTCGATACACGAGACTCGTATTTCTCCCTGCCCCCAATAAATTTAACACAATAGTGCCATTGAAATACATTAGCCATCAATGTAACCAACTGTGATGCCCGGGTTGTGATGTCAATGCTCTCACGGAAGCCTGAGATGATTGGTCTTTTGTCGGACGTATTGTGAATTGCGACTCTCGAAGACTTCGAGTTATTGTTGAAAATATTTGGATAAAATGTAATGAGACTCGTGAATACAGCCAACACTTTCTCATTAATTGTTAGTTCTTTAAAAATAAAAAAAATAAAGAGATATCTTTTCTAGCATTCTACCATGTCAATGATTTTGCATATTTTATTTAAATATTCTCTTTATTCTCTGATTTGTCGTGGCTACAACTATCACGCCTTCACATTAGTTCAATGAATATATACCTTTCCACCAATCAACAATCTAGCTTTGCCATAGTAATACAATTGTTTGCATTCGGATGCAATTGACTTTTAAAACGAGATATGATTGAGCTTCTAGTAATTGACCCAGTGTACGTTTCGTCCTTGACACGATCCAGCCCCAGCATAAGCCGTAAGATGATCCCCAGAGTAGCGTCGTTTGGTAACGTTGATAAAAATAAAACGCTAGCAAGCTTAAATTGAATTGTTAAGGGTTTGACCACTTGGAACTCAAGGTGAGGTTGACGCACGTATTCTGCACTGAAATCAACAGAGCGAATCACGAAAAAATATTAAAAAACAGTACGCAATCATTCAGATACTGCGCCCATAAACAAATGTCACAGCAAATTACGTGAAGAAAACAAAAAAAACAATAATGTGTGTCTACAATCTCCCCTCTCTCAGTTTTGGCGTTCATCATTTAGTAGTGTATATTCGTAAAGTATCTTCGGGAATGTCAGCCAGAAATTTGTGAGAGAGTTGCTGGTGCAACGGGGAATCAAGCTTTGCTGTATCGTTGTGTGTGATGTAACAGTTTCGGGTGTCGTGGATGACCCGCACTGTATTGTGGGTTGAACTCCGGTGTTCGGCTGCGCACTCAGCAGTGAAAAAACAAGTATACATCGCCCACTCGCCCGGATCGCATTCAAGTTTGGAGGTTCACATGGAGGGGGCGTAATAAATGTCGTGTGATGTCGTGCTAGTGGATCATCGCAGTCACGTAAACAAATCATAGTAGCAACGACTGGCTGATTACGACGACTCAAAAAAGGGTCCGGTGGCAAGACATGTCTTACAGCCCGAGGCTATAGCTTCTATAAGTCAAATAGTAGTTGAACTATCGTCTCTACGTGGTCGTCATGATAGGTGTAACGGGTCATTGACACGAAGCAAATTGGTTCAAACCAATAAGAAGATACTATAGTAGATACAACTTGCTAAACCGTACAAATAATTGAATTTTAGTATGTTCTAACTCAACTGCCTTAAAATCTTAAACAGTACATGCACAACGAACGTGTTCATTTACTATTATTCGTTCAATTTTTTTTAATAGAGAACCCCGTTGATAAATTCATAGTTTATATTATCAAAACGAAAATAATATCCAGATTTCACGCGTTTCGATAAACTTGACAATTTGAAAAATAGTTTAAAAACAAGCGTGCCTGTATAATGCATATAATAGCGATTTTGAGTACTGCCCGGAATTTGGAATATTCGCCGCTATTTTACAATTACAGCGACAATTGTGTTGAATATAAACCTAAACAATTGCATTTTTATAATCAACCTAAACTATTGGTATGATTTTAGGGTGAGATGCCTAGTCGGTCGCGCCGCTGCTGTCTGTGTAGCATAATCGGGGAGCCCTAAAATGGTTGGATCACGTGACCACATTCAACGCGTTTGATGGGAACCGCACATCGCTTGATAAAATAACTCAGCGCTACGTATGCAGATATTGACGTTGGCCGCCAAAGCAGACCATTATACCCTACCAGACCAGGTAATATTGAGTGTATACACTGTCTAGTTTCAATACTCGTTGAGTGGTCGAATTTGTTGCCAGCTTACATCGTTAACGAGCAAAGCAAAAATCGTGGTTTCCACAGTGTACGCTGTGACACAAATCCAATATGGCCTCCACAACGAGAGCCGCGGTCGTTGAGCATAGCGATACCCATCCGAAATCTTTTAAATTCTCGCTGTGCTCGCCATTAGATTGCCACGATCACACGAATTTACAAAGAATGTGGCCTTAACTCACTAACAGTCGTGTCCTAGAGGTGGTCGCGACTTCTAGATTCATAAAATCAACGAAGATAGTCCGTGTTTATTCGGAGAGAGGTCATCGTCTGAAACACGGTTGTATACGGGTGAAACGAGGTGAGCTTTTAACTTCGTACCACGTTATGCATTTCAGTCCGCCATGACCTCTCTGTACAATCCCGGCCGTACATTTGTAACCATTAACGTGCCCCATAATATACTTGTCACGATTGTTGTCTTCGTTTACGTAATCGGCGAATGTATGATGTGTATGCTTAAAACTCGGAACGGTATTGCTGTTGCTGTAGCGAGTCAACGCCTCCCCGACCATGCTCCCCGGAATTGAAACCACGCGCGTTTGGTGAAAAAATATCTAAAACTGTCAATTGCCGTGATAGTCGTTGAGTATATGAATCAAATAACTGACACCAAGTGAAATTGCCCAAGTTCGTCGCTGAATTTCCATTTTATGAACTTAAATTGCGTCCGACTGTATAAGACGTTATGCACTGTTTGATCGGGTGATTGTAATCGGCCTCCCCGCCATCAATTGTCTGTTGGGTTCGTTTGTTACGTCTAAAGGTAAAGTTTTTCTGCCGAAATAAAAAACTACTTCCGTCTGTCCACCGTGTTTCACGATCGAAGATTCATTGAAACAAATGCACATTCACGCCACTTTCCACACGCTCGCTGAATTTTTAAATCTCGGAGGCTGCGCCCGATCTGCAAAAAGGTACCGAACATCTTTTTTTTTTTTTTAGATATTTTTTAATTTAATTTTCTTGGTTCTTCGCAACTTACACTAAGGATTTTCAAGATTTTTTCATGATTTTCTTATTTTGAAAACAAACAGAATAAACATACTGGTAATAAATTCCGGATTCGTTTCGGTTTTTGACGCCAACATTTCCTGCCAGAACCTAACTTACCAGTTATTTCTGGTGGTTATTTTCTGTGTGATTTCAAACGAATTTCTCCACAATTTGTCGGACAGAACGCCCCATTCTTCATTTGCTGTGGGTCCATTTATTCTAAAACATCGAAAAACTTCTAGTATTACTGAATCATCAACGTCAGCTGCCATACGTGACTTCATATAAATAGTCGTGTTAATATTATTGATATAATTTTAAAGCTATGCAGTGAGTCTAGTCGGAATATAAGCGCAACAATGTACTAAAGTTCTGATACCAGTAATACATAACTTCATTCACATTTGAAATTGTTGAGTTTATATTTTTGTTTTCTTTTTCACAAGAATCGTTGTTCTATTAGTTGGTGAACCGTATTTAGCATTATTTTTGACTGAATTCCATTGACAAATAACGAAATATTCATGAATAAAATATGAAATCATCAATGAGCTTCGATGTTAAATAGTGTTTGTATATGAGCGAGTTGAAATAACCCGACGTGTTCGTTTATCTGCGCCCGAATGAATGGATGACCCACTGGTTTTTAATTATGTGTTGACAGCTACCGATGACTTGTAAAACAAACTGATGGATAATCTAGTTTTGTAATCACATTATAAACTTTGAATAACAAGAAACACTTAAGCCAGTCGTCACAATAATACGGAATTCAAACAAAAATTCGAAAGGAATACAAAAAAAAAAGCGAAACAGAAGTCGTTGATGTATGGTAATGATATCCGTAGCATGTGACAGCAACAACAACAACAAATGTATGTGCCAGACTTCCTACGTTATCCACATAACAGTAAACACAGTTCATATTAGGCCACGTGTTCGATTCAAACGACCATGGGTTATCTACAATATTTTGTTACTGTAAAGCACTACAGTCGCTGCATGTAATTCGCGTTCGAATTTCGTGTAAACACACTATGTATCGGGGGTCGCGTGGGACCTATATCGAACACGACGCGATGGCACGACTGTTGAAACGGTTGCGGTAAGTTGGCAATCACCAGTTGCGATGTAAAGTACTAGAAATATTAAGGATATCTGACCTGATAATTTGTAACTCTAAGTTGGTAAATACATTGCTTTCATACGTGTACGTTCGCATACTTAAGTTAATCCGTTTTGACATGCCGACAGAATCAATATAATCGCGTACACTGCACTAAACGGTGTCACCTTAGTTTTCGATTGTCGTATCTACAGTATGTAAGCTGGCAAATTTACATCCAACTCTCAGTCATCTTATATGCTGCGCTGTTTTCAACAGCGCACGCGATTACCGCGTAAATTGTATCTAGAGGTTTCAGCGACATTCCTACATGTAACTATAAATAAAACAACTTCGTCTCGCATATCTCCGTCTCTACCATTGCCACGAGTGACGTAAATAAAACAGGTGTTATCGAAGAATTCGAAGAACACTTGTGTCCCAATATTTCCGAGTCTGTGGACAAGGACGTTGTGAAGGCAGTTATTTTCTGTGCCGACTCGCACTCCTTAATGAACAGTAGTTGTACATGCTCAAAAACACACGCAATCGAGGAAAGATGTAAACCTGCTTTCATTTCGTTTTTCTTCATTGACTGTCTAGTTTAAATAACTATAAATTGCCTATTTCTATTTGAAGCAAATTTATAGAGATACGGTTACTTATTAAATCAGTTATTACTTCTTTTGCAAACAGTAGGCCATCGCTGTAAAGTTCTGGAGTTACACATCAGACCAAGTAATAGTGCGCCCTCCTAACTTTTATCTTTCTTTTCCTGTTGCATTTTTCAAAAATGCTCGCGCATTATTTCTAAACATGGAACTAAGCATTGTTGAACATAAAATGACAACAATCATACCGATAAAAGAATACCATTCTGAAACCATTGATAGAAATCAAACTTTCTTTCCATTTGCCGAAACTGTAGTGAATCGATGCACGTTAAAACACGAAACTGCCAAAACTACTGTTAATTATGTATAACAACACAAAATAAAAAGATAAAATCACTTCACAAAACACCTACGGAACAGTGCGACGTATTTATTGCCGACATATTCGGTTCAAACGAGTGTAACGTAACGTTCTTTGGACAAACTAATAATAGAATGTTGTTTCATTTCTCCTTCAATACTACCAACTAGTACACGTTATAATAATTCGTATACTCACTATCTGCATCCATCTACTTCAAAACAGTAACGCTGTAATAGAACATTAAATTACTAACTACATGCTTTGTAAAAATATGTTGCCAAGTTTGGCGAGTAGTCTGATTAGGTTCTGGTTTATTTAAATGTGATTTTGCGAGTAAATGCACTCTCACCAGTAATCTGGTTCGACTTACAGACCTCGCCTCAGGTCGGTTGTAGTAATTGGTATTAGAATCAGAACGTGTTTGGGCAGACCATTCCCGTTGTATGTATGTGTGTGTTGTGTATTAGTAGTCACTGAAAAATAATTGTAAACTCGCATCGTAGTTACTAGACATTGGGTCAAATGTCCTCAGACCCGGCTGTATATATGACAAAACTCGTGAAAGTAACGGGCAACATTAATAGTAATGTTGAAATAATTAGTAGCTGCTAACATGGAATACGCATCAGAGTAAATGTTAAATAACGTAAACACGTACTGCGTGCATGAATCGAACTGACGAACACGTAACCGTTGTAACTACGATGAAGAACTACGACTTGTTTTGGGCACGCCATAGGTCCATCAGTTGACCCACCTCTTCTTCTTCTTCTGATAAAACGTAATAATGTTCAGTGGCGTTTTGCTGAAAAAAATAGTTTGGGTTCCTTGTCTACTCATCATCATTTGGTCTTTATTCATAAAATTACGGCCATTGGTCCAAAACAGTAAAACAAACCGGGTAGAAATACAACAGTACAATAAATCGCTTCGGATATTCATTATTTAACCAACTTAAAGACGCTGTAGAGTATATGTATGCAGATAGGTTTTGAGAAATTAACCAGGCAACAAATTTGTCATAATAATTGGTAGGATAGAAGAAAGAAACTGAAGAAAGAGGATTTGTATGCGCCGATCTCCCAATAACTCCCTTTTAGTGAGTAGGCAGTAGGACGAACAACGAAACCATACAAATGATATTTTGTGTGAATGAATTTTTACCGAGGTCAAATATTAATATTGATAGCGGCAATAAATCTCGTAATGGTAAATACATTAATGGTAGTGGTAATGTGATCCATACACGCTGTGTAGCTCTCAGAATGGCACGTTCCGTGTTGTGCATAGTTTGTAGTTTGGTACATACATATTTGTTACGGCGATTGTTTGAAAATGATATCGGTTACATAACCGAGTATACATGCTATTTAGGTTATTTTAAACCTGCATTGGGTGGGTGGATACATGTACATGCATGCATTTTGAACGGTGTATTCGGCTTTGTAAGGGGAGAACTCTCGAGCTGTTTCTATATTGACTTAACTTAGAGTAAATAGAGTTTCTGGGATAGAGGAATTACAAATACCGAACTATTTAATCTTATGTCATATATACAGTCCATGTGACAGTAACATGTGGGCAAAGACTGAGTTAGGTAACGTTACCAAATAGAACAGATAGTAAAGTGTCAATTTATAGAGAATAAGCGCCTGGAAAACGCGGTGGATGGTGCTGTTTCAGCCCATGCAACTAAAACTTTGATGATACATTTATTACACAGTCAAGTTACTTGTGATATGCGTGCAGTGTCTGGTATCACCACTGGTCAAACTAGAGACACATTTAATTGTCGATTTGACATTTATGTCTGTGAATATCGTTATCGTCCAAGTCTCTACG